CTCGATTATTTCCTTTAAATTTCAAAAAATGTCAATGGCATCCAAAGACTTCCAAAGACTACCAAAGACTTCCAAAGACTTCCAAAGAATTCCAAAGACTTCCAGAGACTTCCAAAGACTACCAAAGACTTCCAAAGACTACCAAAGACTTCCAAAGACTACCAAAGACTTCCAAAGACTTCCAAAGACTTCCAAAGAATTCCAAAGACTTCCAATGGAGTGTACACCAGACTTCCAATGAGAATCACCCCTCGCTTTATACGTACGAAAAGGTAAATATGGAAATACTGGGTGCTCAGAGCGAATGTATTAAAATAATGTTTACGAAAAAAATTATAGAAATTCAACACGTCTAAATAAATTGCTACATATGACCTAAAATTTTTTTAACACACATGCGAGCCCTTTGAATTAAAGAAAATTCTAGCCCTTAAAAAATATGTGGCTTATACACAAAATCTCTCATACATCCCCAGACAATCCTGATCTGCTATTTCTCTCATCAAGTAGCTATTAAAATCATGGATATCATAATTTCACCTGAAATTTCCGAAAAATTTTTTTTTCAAATTTTTTCCGATTCTATTTCCCGTTCGTTCGCGCTTGACATACCATACGGGGGGGGGGTCTCGAAAATATTTTTAAAAAATTCCGCATCCCCCAAAACCGCTCAAACCGATTCAAAAAAAAATTGCTGTAAACATTATTTTAATACATAGCGAATGGCTCATACATTCCCGGTATTTCCATATTTACCTTTTCGTACGTGAAAAGTCTCTTCAAATTTCGACGAAATAAATAGGAGTATGTGAACATTATGAGATTACCGTAAGCCGCATAGGCCGAGGCATAGGCATCAAACAATAACCAGTACTTTTCGAATTATCTTGAAAACAAATAATTTCATCGAAATTTTACAAGAGACAAAAAATACTCTAAAATGATTAAACACTTGGAGAAAAATAAATAGGAAGTCATTAGCGCACTTACATAAAAAATATGGGGGTAAGTGTGTACTTGACCCCCAGTATTTTGAATATTTGACAGTTATTTTCTGTTTTGTTCTCCTCACACAATGTAACTTTTTGTGCTGAAGTAATGTATCAATTCTGAGATTAATATCTTATTAAATCAGCAAGTAATTTTATTGAAAAAAACAGTTTTTAATTTCCAACTTTGACACCCTGTATTTCGAATATGAAGGGCTCAAATGAAAAATGGTATTCAGAAACTCATATTGTTTTGTTCGAGGAATATATGGTCAATGGATTGATCTCCTTTTAGCGGACACCCTGTATATAGTGACACGTATTGAAAATAAATTCATACGAAAATGTATAACATTACTGTATTTACAAGAATATGAATATCGTTCCAAAATGAATGCGATACCATTAGAATGATAAATCCGAGGATAAATCGAAATAATTACTATTTGACAAGCTACGAAGTTACATAAAGACCGCTATTTCGAGTAGAAAATATACAGGATGTCCAATTCAGCTATGGAGAATGGGTTAGGGTTTCACGAGACTCTCGAAATTCGAGATTTCTCGTCTCGTCTCGTCTCGATTTCGAGACGAGATCGAGACGAGACCACTAATTTTTTTTTTCGAGACGAGATCGAGAACCACACTTCGAGATTTTTCGAGATCGAGAAATTATTTCGAGATTTCTCGATCTCGAAAAAAGTTATGCGCTGCAATAAATCACAGCTCCAAGTACAGTTGTATTCAATAAAAAGGCGTACATGTATTGAAAAGAGAGATCAACGTCATCCTAGTTCTAGTTGTGTAATACTAGCTCAGCCAATGCTTTGTAGTTTTGTCAACCTATGACAAATGTCAATATATGGTGGAAAATCATTCTCGATAGCCCGTTTTACGCAAATAGGATGACGTTAGCTTCTCTCTCTAATAGGTACTTGTACGCCATTTTTCTGAATACAACTGTACGCCAGAAAAAAGACAATGAAAAACTGAGCTAAGAAATAATTTCATAATTCATACATTAATTTGCGTTATATCGGGTTGTTCAAGAGACGACTGTTTCGATAATAAAAAATGAGTTTGTTGCAGGTGCTGTTCACGAACGAAGAAACACTTTCAAACATTCACTTTTCGTACCTAGGTAAATTTCCGAGTAAATTTCAAATGTACCTATATGGATAAAAAATTGAATTCAAACATCGAGAATTCGTTCAATTTTCATTTTTTTTGAATATTATTCTTTTGTTCTGGATGTATGACAAATTGATATTCATCATACAGGGCGTGGAAAGAAATTCTGAATTGCTTAAATAACAAGTTTGAATCCCGTGATTTGGATGAAGAAAGTATTGAAAAAGAATATTTTCAGATGTATAATGAACTTTGAAAATCTTGATACAAATGCAAATTCTCAAATTCAGAAGATTTTATTTTCAAATTCTCATCGTGTGTGTTCAATAGATATAATTCAATGTTCGTCGTGGAATACAGCCAGGAAAGTGGTTGTTTTCTGTTGAATATACCGAGGAAGAATAAATATTTTCATCACATAGAGAATGCGATTTCTCAATGCATTTCTTTAAATGCATCAATTTTTTTCATGCAATATCTCTGAGAATATTCCTTTTCAATACAATATTTTTCCTTTTTTGCTGATGCTCGGCGGTTTGTTTGTTATACGTGGCTTTGAGTTCATGTATCAACATAATTCTTTTATAGAAAAAAATTAATAACCTGTATTTTGATTCAGCTCTGGCCTTGGCCTGTACATAGCATTTTTAATAACATTCAGTTTTTGTTTTCGAGATCGAGAAGTTGTCTTCGAGAAAAACATCGAGACGAGAGTTTGTTAATTTCTCGTCTCGATGATCGAGACGAGACGAGAAAGCGCCTTCGAGACGAGATTTCTCGCCTCGATGAAACCCTGTTTTCCGTTATACCAGAAGTTTTATAAAGTAATGTAATACTCCAAATACGAAATGTTTTATACTCATTCTTCAATGCACCCCTACCTACATGCATCAGTGAAGAACACGATTATTTCTATAATTCGAATTTCGTTATGTCTTCTTCAAAGTATTCTCATGAAACCAGATATCTAGAAATATTGAACTGCCTTATACTTTTGGTTTTTGTTTGGAAAAATCATCGATTTCTCACAGGGTCCCGAAGTATTTCAATAAGAAAAACAAACCACACTTCATATAAAAAATATCAAACCATGTTACTGGTTTCGGCACGACGGGAGGATAAATATAAGAACATACCTGAATGGAGTCAGGAAATCTCGAAATAATCATTCACAATTATGGTGATGAGCATATTCGTCAACGGGTTGTAGGTCAATCAAATAGGAGCAAATCCTCTGAATCTGCTGAAGGTTCAGAAGAAACTAGCTCTGATAAAGTTGAATATTGTACACAAGAAAGAACACCTTAGAACTGAATAGTAAACAGCATGAAAAGTAAAACAGGAGACGTATTGAGAAGAATAAACCACCCTTGTAATGCAGAAGGAAATTGAAAGAAAAATAAGAAGAACGAAATAAACAAGAGAAGAAAGAAAACAAGGGTGAATTGAAATTAGAAAGAAGAGGAAAGAAGAAATGGTCTTACTTCAGATTAAATATAGTAAAATGAAAGAAAAACGTCCTGGAAATGTGATTTTGTTCAAAATTTTGTCAATGAGGTTCAACCCATGACCCTCACTACAATAATGGTTCTTGGAAAAACATACGCAACATGTTAAGGTTTATTATCGAGGTTCTGGTAGTCATCTGGTGCAATGGATTATTATAGTATGTTCTTTCAAGGATTCTGTGGTGTGTACCCATCCTGTGCCAAACTTCCCACAGATGAGGGACAGATAACATGCTTGTATCAACCACCTTAATCCCTTTATTCTAAATTGAAGTGGAGGTTCGTCGTAAACTGGCTGGGTATTTAAATTTCCCCTGGGGTTATATTTATTGAGAATAAATAATACCCATTCGTGTTGTTCCAGTATCAGGTCATCATATAATTTCAAATTATATACTATACTAGTGCTATATTGCTGGAATTAGTTCATAATTCTCAGCTCAAGAATATGAAATATACTTATTTCAGAGAAAAATTCGTAAACTAGATGATGGAATGATATCTGCCACTATTAATTTATCACCTATTGGACATAAATTTGAATATTTTGTAATCGCCAAAGATTAACTAGGTCGAGTACTATAGGTAATGTGATTGTTACCTTGTTCAAGGATAAATCAATAGCTAAGAAGCTCGCTAAGAAGACTTCAACTTACCATGCCGATATGGAAAATGTTTTGTTACAGTCGAAAGGAGAGAGAATTTCCCGACTCCATTTCTTTGCCAACTTTGTTTGATTCGTTCTTGATGCGTATAATTTACAATTTTCTACATAGTGGGTAGGGGCTAAATCGAGGAATCTATTAACAGAAATGATTATTTTCGAATAAATAGTGGAAGTCAAATATTAAATAGAATCTATAGATTGAAGTGCTTCTCATAAATTTAGGTATACATACATATATAATGTATATAATATATCAGTGAAACATATTTTTGGCGTTCTTTCACTCTTTGAATCGAGGAGTTTTTTCAAAATATTCCAGGGATTTTTGACATTTTTCGCAATTGCAAAACGTCATATTGAAAAGGATCAAATTACCCGGCTCTTGTCTGATCAACACTATATCTCTTACCGTTTAGGAAGAAGCAATACTGATCGTATCAAATCGTTGAAACCCTGTATAGTGGAGAATGCAATAATTCTTGAGTATCGAAATCTACCCATTTACACAGTTAAAAGCGGTTTAAAGAATACAAATATACTAACGAAATATCGATTCCTCCTCATATTGTTCTGACTCGTGCTCTGATATCATTAGATATGCCTGCTTGTTTCCCGTTATCTTCTCAGTTATAAATTAGGGATTTTATTTGATAAACATTCAAAGTTGATATCATGAGATATAAAGATAGATTTTATTAAGCTTGTAATTATTCAGTAGACAGTAGATCAAGAGTTCCTGATGATCGAGGCCGAAACAGTATATCAACGGCTCGATCAACGGTCTCGCTTTTGCTGACAATTAGTGCAATAATAATTCTGAATTATTAACATTTTGTAATATCAAAATTATTGAAAACCAACTGGGTTCCCAAGATATGCTAATCATTACCCACGCCTGAGATATACGAGAGAAAACATTCTTTTCCACATTTGGAGGTGTATATAAAGACCATTGTCAAGTGTGGTCGTGTATTCAGATGCTCCGATCAAAGTGAATTTCTACACTACAATAGTGCATTCAAAACTTTGAAAGTATAACCTGAGCTACCGTGAGTGATTTATCTAACTGGTGGACCTAATTTCAATACATAATACTGTATACGTTAGAAGATATTGAATAATATAGGAAATACCATACAACTAATTGGTGAGAATACACAGCAGTAAATTATAGGCACCAGAGACTGTCAAAATGTCGAACTGTGATATTTGTGGAGGAAGACCGCAAGCGAAACATAAACTTGACTGTAAGTGCTGTAGAAAAGTCTTTCATATTAATTGTGTTGACGTTGATGAAGATCAGTTACAATTCTACATCGCCGGTGATGCCATCTGGTTATGCACTGGTTGCAATGCAATAATTGGTAATAAGCAGACCATAGTAACGGACGCTACAGCGATATCTGACATTCAGAATAGCCTCAAGATGATTTTAGATCAGCAAAATCACTTTCTACTGAAAATGGTGAGAAACGACCAAGATATTAAAAACCTGAAAGCTAAAGCTAAAGATGCCGCAATCGAGGAGGATATCACTGGTCATGATAAGAGAATTAAAATTCTAGAAACTGCCATGAAGACATTGGAAGACACAAATAATACATTGAAAACTAAAATGGATAATTTTCAACAGAGCAGCCGAATCAATTGTTTGGAAGTCACTGGTGTACCTAAATCTGCTAATGAGAATAACATCAAGTACCATTAGAGGAACACGTTTATAAAAAAAAACTTCCATCCACGTGTATTTTGAAAAAGTTATGATTTCTCTTCGATATTCCGAAAAAGGGGGCCTGTGGGGTTAATTCTTGCCCGACAAAATATTGTGAGATATACACATCATTGAGTAATATCAGATAAACATATTTTTTGAAAAAAAACTCCCATCCACGTGTATTTTTAAGAAGTTATGATTTTTTTTTTCGAAATTCCAAAAAAGGAGGACTTTGGGGTTAATTCTTGTCCGACAAATTATTGTGAGATAAACAGATGATTATAGACCCTCAGAGGAATTCATTGATGTAAAATAGTTTCATCCATGGACATATTTTGGAGGTTTCAGTAATTGCATGGCCAGCTATGAATATAAATTAATAATGAACGACCATTGGTGGTATGGCGCGCGCTCGGGCGCGCGCGAGGGCGGGAGCCTTGAATATTAGGCGAAGTCGTGGCTGGTTTCACACTGATTATTTTGACGAGAGGATTGTGTGCGTACCACGCTTTGTTCAGCTGATAAGAAATGTATGGGGACCGTATTTCGTACGTTGAATTCTCGATATATTTGGGAAATAGCGTAGAAGATTACCTAATTTGAGGGAGTTTCAATACTATTATATTTCGGTAACGTGTCATTCGATCCATGGCCATTATAGGTATCCGCGACAATTGTATCCGCGCGACAGTATATGCGTGGCCTTATATCCCTGTCATTCATTCTGTTTTTTATCCCTTCTTCTCACCTATTTGTAGACATTCCAGTGATCCGAAACGAGAATGCCCCAACAAAACCAGCACCCGAAACAAGCTGCACCCTTTCCATCGATGGCTCTCTGAATTTTCGTGCGTACATGACGTAACTGACAGTTGGAGAATTTCAAGGTCACGATCTGAAGTTCCGATGACGTATAGCGACGGGAAAATATTTTGAACTTGTTTAGATTTACACTGAGTCATGTTATCCCGAGTGTTTTCCCTATTGCTAAATGCTATCGTAACGTCATCGAATGACCTTGAAATATCTGCGAGAGGCAATGATATCTTCATGGAAAAAAATTTTCGAGTGAGAGAATGGTACAGCGAGCTGTGGATCTCATTGTTACTTCGCGGCTCGTGTTCAATCTATGCAAAGAACAACTTTTGTTCGCATGTAATTTCCATTCCGACAAATATACTTTCTAGTTAGGTTCATTCATTTAGGCCGAATGAGGTTAAATAGTTAAACTATTTACAAAAAGCTGTCTTTCTTGTTCTCTCAAGTAATTTTTCGAAAAATTTATTTTCTAGTAATGAGGTTCATTTATATGCCGAAATAGGTTTTATTGTTCACTGAGGTGAAATGGTTGAATTATTTACAAAAAGATGTCTTTCTTATTCTCTCAAGTAATTTTCCGAAAAATTTACTTTCTAGCTATCAATGAGGTTCATTTATATGCCGAATTAGGTTAGATTGTTGAAACATAATAATCCCTTTTCTTCTTTCGAGTAATTTCCAGAAAATAAAATTTTCTAGTAGGGAACTTCATATAGGCCGAGTGAGGTTGGATTGTTCGAAAAAACTAGTTTCCCTCGTTTCCTCAAATGATTTTCCAAGAAATATACTCATTTAGCTCCACACCACCCCTGTACTTTCGTATTCCAAGGACAATGTGAAGAAAAAATTCCTAATATACTACTCAATTATCTCTTTTGTTCAGCAAAGAAAAACTATCAATCACAATTTCTAAGCCTCCTGCAATCACAAAAACCCAGCAGAAGTGAAGAACACGGATTATGTTTTTTCTCAGAAATTCTGGTGATGGCAATCGATTCGGACTATATAGCCAAAAATACTTCTATATCATTCTTCAAAACAATATCTTATAATGGGTGTTTTTCATCAACGTTACAATTTTTCAATAATTGCATTTTTTCCATGTATAATGATTGTTTCAAGAAAATGAATAATACCAGACATGATAGTAGTCAGGATTAGATCATCTGGCTACAGAGTGGAAAATTCAAGCCTAGAAATAGGGGAGAGTTACGACCAAAAATAATACAGTTTGCAGAGAGAAACCACGAGAAGAACTGAGGAAAGTTGAAATTAACGTGATGCGAAGGGGATAATTATGAAAGGTGTACAGATAATGTATAAGATTTGATCGAGAATACCAGAATCTTAACTTGATAGGAATAATTGATGTTTCAGTTTCATTTTCAAATTTTTTTATGTTATTTTTCTATGAATTATTCAGGTTTTTTCTTCTTCTTTTCATTTCTTGACAAAAAAGTCAAATTTCCATAGTGATTTTAGTCGTTATTTATCTCAATCTGTAGACAGATATCTAAACCTGACTACCATCATGTCTGGTACCGATTAAATGCTCATGAGAATTATAATACACGGTGACTCGAAGAATGCAATTATCCAAAGATAGTAATAACATTGATGAAAAAACACCACTTGAAAGATTTTGTTTTGAAAATTGAGAGTATTTGTTACTAGTCCGAGTCGATTGCACTTATCAGAATTCTTGTAAAAAAATGCCTACACCTACCGTTTTTTTTTCAATTTTGCTGAAGTTTTTGTGATCGCCGTAGGTCGAGCCGTAGGTCAAGAAATTGTGTTTGATATTTTTTTCTGCTCGACAAAGTAGATAATCTTGAGAAGTAAATCATGAAAGAAAAAAATCTCAAATCGCCCTAGGAAAACGAAAGTACAGGGGTGGGGTCGAGGGTGGGGTGGACCCGAGGGTGTACCAAATTGTAAGACACTGTATGTACTATCACAATCGTCACCAAATAATCAGGATCGAGGGCTATCATCTGTGAAGCAGTATAAGTCGCATTTCGCAACACCCTGTATATACCAGGTCTATTCATACGATATCTCATACTATAAGCATCGTCCACCAATTTGCTATCAGTTCAATCAAACTAGTTCCTGGGATTTGATATTCGCAAAAGGGAAAATGGTGCTAGTGCGTAAAAAGTATTAGAGATATGATATTATGAATGTTTACATACATATTCGGGTTTTCACCACCAATGTTATGATGTGATGTAAAGGTGATAGACAAATAGTGCAACTAGACAAAAATGTGTATTACTGAATATCAATGTTATCATAGCAGATAAATCGATAACATTCCTATGGTCTCCGTCAATCTGCAGATGATGACTATCTTTCATGGAGAGCACTTTAGGTACCCAAATTCTATTGTTTTGAATTGTTTGCTTTTTCCGTATAACGCACACCGGAAACAAAAGTCTGATTTCCTTATTCCGGCAAGGGTGATTGAAACTTCAGTACCGTAATTTGCTGTATACTGTTTGGGGTTGCTCGGTGTTGTCCTGCTGTCTCAGTGAGTCACTCTTTCCGGGTTGATGAAGACCCTGAGAACCTGATAACATTACATTGAAATAAAAAGAATCGGTAGGTAGGTATATTAAACATAACAGTGATCATCATATGCACCATGAATGAGCTAATGAGCAAGCTAATTAAATATTTTGATTGTCCACTAGATCGCGCTACTGAGGTCTACAGTGACTTTATACAAGACAGTGGAGACAATATTTGTCAGAGATTTGATTGGCTGTCGCTGCAAACGCAATTAGGAGGCAGATTTTCTGTATGTATACATTCGTTTCATATGGTTTTTGCGTCGGTTCAGCAATCTGTTTTGCTAGGTAGTTGGGTAGTTCACTTTTTCTCTTCAAAATGTTGGTGTCTATATAACGTATAATATCCACAAGTAGTGCTTTCTTGAAAAAATCGTGTGGTATATACCCATATTCATTAAAATTTGTCTTGTTACAACATTCTGGTTTGTTTCGTTTCAGTTATAACCGGTTATAACACAAAATGCATTCGTGTGTAGCTGTGTTAATTTGGAAAAAGGTTTTTTGATGAAAAAATTTGCAAAATACCAAAATTGCAGGAAGGTATAATGAGCAATCAAAAATTAATCGTTTTGACGTTATTCACAGCGGCTGTATCTCGGAGGGAGTGTATTTTGGAACATATGTTGTATATGGAAAAAGAGTATTATTTTCAACCCAACAATACGTTTTCAGATCTACATCGAAATGTGAATGATCCTGTATATCAGAGTCATATTTTATATTGAATCTTCTACATCCACAAAAAAACTGTCACTGTGGAAAAAGTTATGTCACAATGACAAAATATTGGGTATAACGAGGGTTTTCATGATTCATACAATTGAATAACTCTCGGAATAACTTGTTCAAGTGATAAAACGTTTGTTAGAACAACAAAAATATCGTCATAGTGGTAGAACATCTGATGTTACATTTGACAAGATCTTTCTTCATGGATATGGGACAAAATATTTTGTTGATCCAATCGTTCACTTATTTCTGTGTAGTTAGTATACCGGGTGTCGAATCATTTCCACAAGTCATAACTCTCAGAAAATCAGATATATCAAAATAAGATTTTACGGTCTGCTCATGAGGTTTATATTGGTGTCATAACCTAAGTGAGTGTTTTGTTTGCAAAGAAAGATTTGATGAAAATAACTCTAAAATATTTCTCATCATGGCTACTCATGGCACACCTGACAAAAAAGTTTGAATTAGTATCCATCAGTAGTAATGTTTATATTTCTCATCCAATCGTGAATAAATCAGTTTAGTCAGATTCGTAAAAAAATCCTTTTTTCGAAAAGTACTTGTCGAGGTGCTTGTCAAGAAATGGTCACTTTTTTTGAAATCATAGTTAGAAATAGGGATCGACCGATATAGAAATTTTAGCCGATACCGATAATCGGCCGATACCGATATACTGATATACATATCGGTCTATCGGCCGTTAACAAGTTTTTTCTGAAGCTGGTGATATTCATTATGCAAAACGTAGCAGGCTAACTCCTGATAGGACAGAAAGCATCACAACCTACCAGAACTAAATTATCAGTATTAATCAGTTATTTTTGTATTTTAGTGAGGTGAAATAATTTTACCTTACAGTTGCAATCCGCATAGGGTTTTATTTTAATTACTAGTCAAAGAATTTAGTTGATTTTACGTTACATACTTTTTTTGGTAATAAAGATATATTTTTGATGAAAGTGTATTTTTTTCATTCATTTTTCAAATTGATTTTTTTCCCAATAAAAAAATATATCGGTCTATCGGTCTATCGGTTTTTGCGAGGGGTAAATCACATGGGAAGTCCGGTGTACCCTAGACGGGAATTCCTTGGGAAGTCTGGGAATTCTTTGGGAAGTCCGGGAATTCTTTGGGAATTCCTTGGGAAGTCCGGGAATTCCTTGGGAAGTCCAGGAATTCCTTGGGAAGTCTGGGAATTCCTGAGGAAGTCC